AATTCGAACTCATGGTCCGTGCAGCAACAGTGACATATGCGTAGCATACAGCTCACATGGGCTGACCATTACATCCCAATTACAACTAAAAAAAAAAGAAAAAAAAGAAGGGAAATAAAAAGAAACTTCCCCACACGCCGTGACAGCCATCAGAAACATGCCATGAGGTGCTCTGATGAGACTGCGCCTCAGTGAGGACATCTGTCTGTATGAAAAACGAATGAAGAACCAAAAAAAAAAAAAAAAAACTTGCCTTATGCTGGGTGATGCTGATGCAGTAATTCTGCAATAAAGTGGTGTTAAAATTCGATGATTTTTTTTTTTGTTTTTGTTTTTTTGTTTTTGGAAAGTTTGATGACTGTGATGATAATGGTAAGTAAGAAAGCAAACCAGAAAAAAAAAAAGAATGGTGTGATGTTCTGGTTGTTGGAGAGGGAGGAGGTTCGAAGCTCATCGACTTCTAGAAGCAACTCCTGCTTCGACTCAGTCGTTCGATCTTCTTGTTCCCCTTTTGTGCCCCATCGATCGCTGCGCATGTCCTTTTTTTTTCACTTTTCTGTTTTTGGCAACGTTTTGCTATGTATGGTCTTTTATTATCTCATGATTCCTCGTTTCTGTTGTCAGGTGCACTAGGAGGAGAAGGCGGTCGTAGCAATCATGGCTTCTTCTTCTTCTTCTTCCGGTGAAAAGGGACATTCGTCCGCCCAGCAGCAGCAGCAGCAGCTCCGAGGAAAGACCGTGATTGTGACGGGAAGCAACTGCGGCATTGGTCTGGAGACTGCCGCGGAGCTTGCGCGCCGAGGGGCCTCGGTCATTCTGGCTTGCCGCAGTGTGGAGCGCGCCAATGACGCCATGGAAGAGATACACCGCCGGCAGGCAGATGCAGATGTTATGGCGATGAAATTGGATCTTGGATCCCAGTCGTCGGTCAGAGAATTCGCAAAGTCCTTCAAGGCGTTGAGGAAGCCACTCCACGTGCTGGTTAACAATGCAGGGGCCAATTTCCGGTCTGAATCGCGTACAGAGGGGGGGGTCGGAATCTCTGCCCAGGTGAATTTCCTAGGGCCTTACACCCTGACCCGGCTGTTACGTGACGAGCTTGTGGCGGGGGCACCCTCCAAGGTTGTCAATGTGAGTTCAATCATGCATCGAATGGGGTCCATACGCGATGCGCGCGCGTTTCTGCGGGAACCAAAGCAGGGCCGCTATGACAATTGCAAGCTGGGAAATGTGCTCTTCACTGTGGAACTAAACAAGAGGTGGAACAAGGACGGAGTGGAGGCGGCCGCCGTAGATCCAGGTGCCGTCAACAGTAATATATGGAGGAACAGTGCCTTCTCTCGTCCCCCTCTCAAATGGGGATTGCAACTTCTGTTTGCCCCTCCGTCCGACGGGGCCTCTGCAGTTATACATGCAGCCACTACGTGTCCAAGCGAGCCTCATCAAAGAGCTCATGCAGCGGAACCACGACCTGGTGACTCGTCGTCTGATGAGGATCAGGATTACCGGCGGAACGTTGCTGAAAACACTCCAGTGCGGTTGTTTGCTGAGGGCGCGTTTGCGTCCAAACTGGTGACCGGGCTGCCATCCTCAAAATGGATGTCCGCTGCACAGCCGGCGCTCTACCTCGCAGCGGCTGCCGTCGACTGGCCTGTCCGGATGGTCACCGGCAAGAGGGTGTTCGGTAAGGTGTACGAAGTTCAGCCAAACCCTGCAGCCTACGATGCTAGCTTGACGGCGTCGTTGTGGGAATGTGCTGCTGAAATGGCTGGTCTTCCTCCCAACGACGAATGAATGATTGATTAACACGAGCCAGCAAGGCCCTACACATCCGTACACTGGCAGCCAGGCATGCTACTTCAGGTCTCTGTCAATAGGAATCCCATCTTTTGCTAATGTCTTCTGGATGGTTTCACCGTTTAAAGGAGCGCACTTGGAATGTGTAATAGAACACAAGCCAGCAAGGCCCTACACATACGTACACTG